GGTTAACTTGTTATTCAACCAGTGCAGAGCAGTCTTTGGCCTTAAATCCAGCTTAGCATGTTGATACGTTTCGGTTGCATAGTGCTACCAGTGAGATGACTCTCGTTTGACATATTCAGCCATTTGGAAACTTATTTTGTGTTCAGAAACTTATTTTACGTTCAGTAGGAATGTTAGAGTATGCAGTAATTTGAAAAAATAAAATAAGGATTTGGACTTAGCAAAAGGAAAGAATCTGGTTGTCTTCTGGCAAGTTTTTTAGTTCTGGTTATCTGCAAAGTATACACCTCTTGTCAGTATAAATAGGGAGTGCCTGTATAAACATTCTTGTTTCGCCTGTTCCACATAATAGTTTCTTGTATCATATTTCTTTTGACCTCGCTATCTGAAACCAATTACAGGAGATCCATTTGGGCTGCATCTATTTTCATAAGAAGCCCAGGCAGCAGTGTTTTTCTCAGAGATGAATATCAACATCAAATATGCTTCTGAGTGCTTTGTTATTTATGTTTCAGAGAGATTTTGTAGCCTTCAGCTCTCAAGAATGTGTCACGCTGTGCTGTTTATACATTGACGATATTAATGGGCGTAGATGTCATTTTTCATTTTAACGTCTCGAATGCAACAGGCTGATAGGTTAAACATTCCTGTTTTTAAAGGAAAGATATGAGTGACATCTGTTTCCTAAAAATATACTTGTATTTACTTTTTAAAAACCAGAGTAATAAGTTTACCATCTTTTAGTGGCATCTTTCACTTTATTAAAATGATAGAACTTTAGAAATTTTTTTAAGACATGCTTAAATTAAATACAAGGGTTTGGAATACAAAATAAAAGCAAGTTGTATCTCATAGTATTATCACCAACAAATTGCAAAATCTACTGCAATTTATCAACTTTAATAGGGTGAGTTATATGCAATTAATTTCATTTTTGTTCTGCTTATGTTTTAGCTATGCCAAAGCTGCACAGTAAATATTAAGAAGTAGTGTTCCCAATAAATATTTTACTAGAAGACATAGTGAGTTCTGGAAACCATATGCCCAAATTTCCTGCTTATACAGCCATTACTTAAAGCATTATAATGATTTTCATTTGCATTATTAAAATAAGTTTTAATCCTCAGTTCTTTTTATTGCTTTTGTCTACATTGACTTTTTTGTATAGTTTTACTAATTTAGATAACTTAATTAAGGAAAAGTGCCTACTAAATTTGAAACAAATGTTAGTGGAAACTGGATACAATTTTGACTGCCTTAGAATCTGTTCTTGCTGCTATTAACTTGAGGTAGGACTCAACATAATTTTGATCTGCCAGATTTATAAACGTCTGTTAGTTTGTCTCCATTTAACTGGTTTTAGACCACAAGTTATTATCAAATTAATTCACAGAAATTTTTAAATGATAAGTGGGATGGGTGTTTACTTGAACTGTACATGTTAAACTATGAATTCTGAAAGATGCTTTCAAGTTGTCAATTTGTTTTGCAAAGATTTAATAGCAGCAAATGAATTGGTAGAACTGTATGTTTTATAGTCTCATAATCTTCACTTATGAATAATGTCAGTAATAATCTTTTGAAATTAACAGTGTGTTTCTGGGAGGTTGTTTACTGAGCAGCCAAATCTAAAGTTAAGCAGCACACAGGGAGGAAAAAGTACCATATGAACACTGCTATAAGAACAAAGGCTGACAGTGATTTCTCCTTATGAGTTTTAAATCATCTCTGATCTCTTGAAATTGTTTTCTGTTCCTCTTCTATCTCCTGTGTTTACAATAATCTAAACTGCCACAATAAGATCACTGAAGTATTCAGGTAGTCATCATTTATAAGTCATTCTGTATTAAAAGATGAGCCTTTACTCCTTTAAAGATATCCCAGCCAGCGCATATGAATCAAAATAGTTTAAGTAGTAGAGCCTTTTATGCAAACATATCCTGTTGTGCCGCCTTGCTTTTTCATAAAGTGTGACTCTTTTTGTAGTTAGCGATAGGAAGTCATGCCTTCTTAGGCAGATTCCACAGGAGCATGCTAGCCACAATTTGAAATTATACTGCCTAGCTTAAATCTAAGCTGCAACATACTATAATTCTCTAATTTTCAAGTACTGTAAACGTACAGCTTTACCAGATGCTTTCTGGCTTCTTTTATTGTACTGGCATGAGATGACTTTGCTGCTGAGGAAGATCAGGACACTGAATGAACTTGCAGAGTACTCCAGTTTACATCAGCATTATATCATTAGAATTTCTATTCCAGATCAAGGCCGTGTAATGAATTGTCTGCAACTGCCACAAATAAAAAATAATTATCTTTGTGGTTTTCCCTGTTTTCTGTAACTCCAGATCTCTTCTCTGGTTCTTGCAGCAATATCCCCTCAAGTGGTGAGGTTGGTTTTCCTGTACAGTCTCCCATGAATCCAGGAGTGCAATAGTTCTCTCGCTTCCATTCAAGTTTCCCTTTCAGAGGGCTCTAAGGATTGGGAAGGCTTATAAATTCACCATAGATATTCTGTTCCTGCATTTAATCCATGCTTTGTGCTTAAACCACTGCAAGATGTTGGGACCAAATCCTGGTGCCCCTGAAATCAACAGATATATTTGTCTCTGGTCTCAGACAGAGCAGGATTGTCCTTTAGGATCTGCTCAAGAACTGTGAGTGCAGAAGAGATTACGCTATTCACATAGGAAACAGGGAATCCAGTGGTTCCTTGGTAACAAAATATTTCAAGTGCACTTTGAAATATGCTAACTTTTATTTATTTTTGGCAGAGGGAAGCTAGTTCTGTGCGTCTCGTTGCTTAGGTTCAGAGGAATGTATAGTCTTTGTGAAGCTGACCTGTAATTACTTGAGAATTTGATGAAACAATACGGGGATTGTTGTGGGAATGTCTCCAAATGTTAAAAGTCTGCTCTGCAAACTTTGTACCAGAGCCTTCTATGGGGAGATGAATCAATGTTGTTAGGAGATGGTGCTAGTGCATTCAGTTTGTTTACTTTGGTTTTCTATGTCTGCCTGCCTTCTCAGAAAACTTGCTCGGAGCCAGACTGTAGCAGCCCTCTCTCTGTCTTTTCATAATTGATCAGGGGATGACTGCCTTCCCTGAGGGTTAAGACGTGGCAACTTTTTCTGTTTGCTCAGCATCTCAATGCAGTAGTTCAAACATTGTTCACACCAGCTGGCAGTGTAATGCCATATGCACATCTTGTCAAAGCAACTGTTGTCATGGATACTGGAAACTATCTTAAAAACCAGCTCATTTGAGTCTAATCAAAATTGTACCTTTCTTTATCAGTTGAGAATCTTTATTATTTTAGGGGACATTGATCAAATGGCATTTATTGCAGTATTTTCTATCTACAGTATGTTTTAATAACGTAGATAATCGTGTGATGTATTTTACAGCTGTAACTGCTATTTACCGAGCTGATTTATTTAGGGGGGGTAGGAAAAAAAAGAGTTCTTCAGGTAGTTTCAGTGGAAATGTTTTGAACGGGGGTTTTGGGTTTTTTTAGATTTCTTAATAAATAGCACTTTGTAACACTTGGCATTTTAAAAATAATTTTATAGGGTAAATAATTTAGATTAGCCTTCTTTGGGTAAGTGAATTGTTTGTTTACATTTCATATGTTTAACTGTATTTTGCTGAGTTGGAATGAAAACATAAAATAAATGAAAACATTTTCTATTTTGATTGGGATACTGTCATCCCAGAGCCTGATCTGGTTGGTTGAGTAGTAATTTCTTTGTTCTCTGATTTTCCGAAGAATGCAAATGAAAACCACTCATTTTTATTTGGCATTAAAACTGCACTTTATTTTGTCAAAGGAGAGGTTTCTCCTTGAATTGTAAGTACAAAAAGTGTTTTTAATCTTCAATGAATATCCTTATTAATTCACTTTCAAGATAATCTGATGTTGATTTGTCAAATTTAATTACAGCTTCCGGTAACACTTGAAGTCTACTTGCTTTTGCTTCAAAATTCTAATATGAAAATGCAAATTGAATGATAATTTGCAAGGGAGTGGGCATTTTAGTTGAACACTCAAAGACAAGTTCCTTGTGGAAATGAGGCTATTGATGCAGTTTATGATTTTTCCTCTTCAAGCACTTTAAACAAATTAACTTTATTTCCTGCAGGATTTCATGTACATCCATAAATTCTTGTGAAGTCCTATATATGTACTTTCAGAAGATTTTCTTTATGCTTTAAGTAAAAAACAAACTGAAGTCTGAAATCTAGCAAATACAAATCAAATAGGAGGAGATTGCATTTGTTCGATTGGACTTTTACGTAATATTAGCAATGAGTAACTAATCTCTTTCTAGGAACTGGTAGAAATTATTTACTCTTTTTTTTTTCTTTTTTTTTTTTTTTCTTTTTTTTTTTTTTTCTTTTTTTTTTTTTTTCTTTTTTTTTTTTTTTCTTTTTTTTTTTTTTTCTTTTTTTTTTTTTTTCTTTTTTTTTTTTTTTCTTTTTTTTTTTTTTTCTTTTTTTTTTTTTTTCTTTTTTTTTTTTTTTCTTTTTTTTTTTTTTTCTTTTTTTTTTTTTTTCTTTTTTTTTTTTTTTCTTTTTTTTTTTTTTTCTTTTTTTTTTTTTTTCTTTTTTTTTTTTTTTCTTTTTTTTTTTTTTTCTTTTTTTTTTTTTTTCTTTTTTTTTTTTTTTCTTTTTTTTTTTTTTTCTTTTTTTTTTTTTTTCTTTTTTTTTTTTTTTCTTTTTTTTTTTTTTTCTTTTTTTTTTTTTTTCTTTTTTTTTTTTTTTCTTTTTTTTTTTTTTTCTTTTTTTTTTTTTTTCTTTTTTTTTTTTTTTCTTTTTTTTTTTTTTTCTTTTTTTTTTTTTTTCTTTTTTTTTTTTTTTCTTTTTTTTTTTTTTTCTTTTTTTTTTTTTTTCTTTTTTTTTTTTTTTCTTTTTTTTTTTTTTTCTTTTTTTTTTTTTTTCTTTTTTTTTTTTTTTCTTTTTTTTTTTTTTTCTTTTTTTTTTTTTACTTTACTTTTAGGCACTTCAGGCAGCAAGGCAGCTGCTTTTACAGCAACAGACAAGTGGACTGAAATCTCCTAAGGGCAGTGATAAACAGAGACCACTGCAGGTTAGTAAAGTATCCTTGCTTTTTGGGGCCTTGCTCTCAGGGACGCGTGCTGGGCTTGCTCACACGCGAGGGGGGTGTGTGGATGCCTGTGCTCTAACCTTCTCTATGCGCATATTCACATACAAGAGGGTACGGGCTTGCACGCTGGTGACTTCTCATTCACTGTAAGTGACAAAAGCCTTTTGTGGCTATAGATGCTTAATAGGTCTAAGACTAATTCTGAGTTCAGTAGATATTGTATACATTCATTCTTTACAGACATGTTGCAGAATTGGTATTTGATTTGTATACATACATGGGTTAAATTGTCAAAATGGCTGTGTTATGACTAAGAGTAAAACAGTATCCTGAAAAAAAAATTAGTTCAATAACTCCTGGGTACTAGGTCTAAAAGGCAAACAGAGAAGTGTTCAGAAACTACCAACACAACTGCATGAAATTATGAAAGAGCTGCTTCTGCCATTTCAGAAAAACATGTCATTGAGTTTAACACTGGGATGCTGTTGGGCTTCAGGTTGGATTTGGGTGAATAGGAGTTCTGTTATTGAATAATTATTTTAAATGCTCTGTTGGTTAAACTATATATAGCATTTTATTCTTGCAAAAATTATCTTCTTTTTTTGAGGTTTTAGTTCATTTATTGCTAATTCTGAGTTCCATCTGAAATTGCGTTCTGCTGACAAGACTGATTCTCTTATTGTATACAGACCAAATATGGGTGTTTGACTGCTGAATTATGTCTGTTGCAAACAAAAGATGTGCATAAGCAATGATTTTATTTTGTTCAGGAAATAAAAAAGTGTAACTCCTACCATTCTTTTCCTCACATCTATTTTTTGGGTGAGCTTTAGCCTCTTGGGACTTCCTGTTTCCTGATGAAATAGGATGTTTTTATCTCATTTTTAGTTTTTGTCATGCATAATGGAGGACCCCAGGCACCAGAATTTATCTTTTTCTCCACCAGTGAAGTGTTGTGAAATTTAATCACTTGTGCAATTTTTGTATGTAATTCACATTTTCTTCTTTTCTTTCTGAAACTTCGTGGAGCAATGTTGGACATAGCAAACAGTTCCACATTCCACATCAGCTCTCTTCAAATATACTTTTAAAGTTATGTTTATTTGCTCAGAACGAAACAAGAACTTAGGGAAATGACTAAAGAAAATGGAAAAAAAAAAACATGTCAAATTGGTATCCTGCCATGTTCTAGATGTAGTCCAGTCCAGAGGCATAGGAGTCCTGGGACCATCTCAACTTTCCACTCTTTGCCCTTGACTTTGCTTTGTATTAAATATCTTCTAGGCTGAAGGCAAACAAGAAGAGTAGTCGTAAAGGCAGCAGCTTATGAACTACTTAGTTTTTTAGCTTTTAGAAGTGGAATTGGTGATCTTGAAGGACTGAATCATGGACATGACTGATTTAATGAATACTGTGAAAAGTAGTTTATTCTGCCAGCTCCGCAGTCTGAAATATAACATAACATGGGCTGTACTAGGAGTATACAAGGTCCAGATGCTAAGGGAAGTGTATGAAACAAGCAAAAACAGTGATAGTTTTCCAGTATGTGTTTCCCAGTGAAGTTAGCTTACTTTAATCCTCCAACTTGTAAACTAGAGCAGTTCAGGAGCTAGTGACTTCTCTGTTCACATTCTCCACCCTTTGGTAAACCTTTTTTTCATGGCTGAAGAGATGCAGGGGTGCTGTGTTTGTGGTAGGCATAGATGAAAGGAGAGAAAATCACATATGGAGACAGGCAGTCATACATATAACCCAGAGGATGATGAGGTGAGGAGAGGGAGTCTTGTGCTTTCCTACTCCCAAAGCATTAACCTTGGCCTGATGCCTTTCAAATGCCATGGGATGGTGGATTGTAGAGACGTCCTGTATTACGTGTTTGCCAAGAAGGGTCAGTGCCTCATGAGTCACACTTGCGAGGCAGGAAGAAGAAAATGAAGCAAATACTTTTCTTTTCAGAATTGTTACATGCTCCCTAAAGCCAAGATTATTGCTCATGTTTTCAACTTTTCCTTCCATGATCAGTATGTGCACAGTGCCTCTTCTAAGCCGTGGACACTTCATTTTATTCATTTTTAACTGAGAAAAAAAAAGGTATTTGCTCCCAGACTTTGGTTTTTGTATCAAATACCATGTAAATTCAGGTATGAGCACAAACTCCATTTTAATTTTCTTCTTTTGTGAGAAGGATGCATAAAGGTTTTAAAAGTGAGTCCTTGGAGCTTTTCTATTTCTGTCTTTTACTGTTAATACAGAGCTGTTCATTGTTCATAATGTAGTGGAAATTCACATTTTGAGCATTGTGATGCCTGTTTCACCAAATCCTGTAATATGGGTCATAAAATGGTACAATATTATTATCTTATTATTCCAAATTTAATGGTAACTTTAGCCAAAATCATCTAGCAGTAGGAATTGATAAATGTGTATAAGCAATTTGAGGTTTATAAGACAAAAATACTTGTGTTTGTGTTTGTGCTTAAGGAAACAGACTTCTCCCAGTATTTTCAAATACTTTAATATTAGTGTAGTTCTAATTTCCTCTAATTTCAGAGCAATTTTACTGATCTGGCAACGGGACATATGTTAGAACTGATGTATAAATCTAGTAAAAACCTAATAAAATTTATAAAAGTAGCTCATACATCTGCAGGCAAATGTGGGTGTTAAGTAAGCCTTGCCATTGCATCTCTCACGTTCCATATTTTGATGTAAACTATTCTATTGTTCCACATGCCAAAGAGGGAAAAAAAATGGTATTAATTTTAGTGGCCGTCTTTTTGTATTTGATGGATATTTGGGGGATAGTAGCATATGCTGGTTTTATATATGTTCTCTCTGTTATTCCATAATGCGTCAAGTATTTTAGTGACTTACAGCACCTACTAGCTAATCAGCAAGTTGAAAGCTTATTGAAGAAACCTTCAAATTTCTGTCCTCAACTTTGCAAAAACAGGGTGTTGGGTAAGTCATCAAGTTCTACTGTGCTTTACAGAGGGAATGGGTTTAGAGAACTGTGGGGCTTTTCCTAGAAGAATTTGAGTGTCTTTTGTATCCTTCTCATGAAAATCCTTTTTAAATTTACCGCTAGCTAAGTGATCTATTGTAAAAGACGAATGTCGTGGTGGCAGATGTTTTTGTTTTAGTTTTTCATGCAAAAGTTACCGGTATCTAGTAGTTAACCCCTATTTTCAGGGAGAAGAGGTTTATATTTAGATTGTGATTTAACAATACTTGCAAAAATTACAGTTTTAGATAGATGCTTTTCATGATCTACTATTACTTTCTGATTTACATTTTTCTGGGTTTCAGACTGCAGATGGCATAACCATTAGCATGTCTTATGCAAAACAGAAGGAGAAAAGCATCCTATCTGACAAGCTTGAGTACCGATTGTAGTAGTGATTTTACTTTCATGTATAGATATCCGAATAAATGTATTTGAAACATGTTTATATATGCCATTCATTACATTGATGCACCAATTGAATGGATCCAATCAGTACATACATTGATTAATGACATATTGCAGAATAGCTAAGGAGGGTTTGTGATGAGAGTTGAGGATAATATTAAGGTGCATATGATGAGATAATAGCATTTACTTCTTTGCTGTACATCCTGGAAAACATATTGCAGTAGTAAGGTTAAGTTTTCTGTAGTACTGGTTTTCTTCTCAGAATATTTTTCTCTTCTGGAGAAGCTGGGATTGTGGTAAACCGTGGTTCAACGAAGTGATTGCTTTCATGGATTTCACTCCCTGTCACCAACTATCCATAGCAGGCATAACAGGTAAAAAGGTCGCTTTGGCTCTTAGAATCTGTAGACCATTCTCCTATGGCAGAAAGGCCCTTATGGCCACCAAAGAACTTGGTGTCATCTAGCCTGAGTTTTAAAATTAGCAGCTTTATTGTTCTTGTTACACTTATAGTCACAAGCGAGACTTGGGGTTCTTCAACACCTGTGCAAAGCACAAGCATAACCCAAAGGTAAATGCTGTTAATTTGCTACCATTGTTGGGGGTTTCTGTACAGCCTTGCAGTTATTTCCCTTCCAGGTAGGCAAATCTCGGTGCTTAGGCTACTCTGTCCACGATACACATGCTATTGTTGGCTGCAGAGCATAGTGATTTGGACGGCTACTTGTAAATGTAGTCTAGTTATTTGTATTCCCTGTGATGTCTCTAAAGAAGTAGTTTATTTTTATAATGTTGGACTTTGAACTGTATTAGAATACAGAAATAATTATCATCAATCCCAGAAGTTAATATATATACAATACATTGCTTAGTTATTTTTTACTTCATGGTGGGAGATTTGTTTTTTCAGCACTAATGTATTCTCTATGACGATGGCATGTCAGGAAATCATGACTCCTGGAATCAAAGGGTTAAGCTCAGTGTGTACCAAGCCTGTTGTATAAATATCATGCTGTATGGAGTGTTGAGTTGTTAAGGTAAGCTTTGTTTATTTAGCATGAGGACTTCACTGAAGTGTAATCATTTGATAAAATTTGGGAAAAGTAAGTATACATTTAAGTTTAATTACTTAATGTTCAATTGCATTAGTGCATAGAAGAATCACTTTTTTTAAAGATATGCAAAATGCAAAAAATTAGCATGAAAAGATACTCATAGTCTCTTTTAACCTACTCTCCTTGCTTTACTGTCTCCTAGTTTGGTCATCTTTTGAGTCTTCACATGGCTCTGAATTTAAAATTAAATGCACATAATAAATAAGGAAACATATCATTAATATTGTAACTTTTAGTTACTTTTTTAAACATACATAAGGAGCTGTTGAGAGACAAGAAATTGGGAATGTGGGGAAAAGGAAGCAAAACCTGCTACTTTTAAATTATATCCTCTGACTTAATGCACATTGACTGCAACTGTGAATGCATAATGACAGTAAAAAAAATCCCAGTTTAAAAACAGCAAAAAAAAATGTTATGGGTGTAACTTAGATAGAGTTTTCTTTGTATTA